TCTCTGTCTGGAGGACCCCCATCTCTGTCTGGGGAGACCCATCTCTGTCTGAAGGAAACCCATCTCTGCCTGGAGGATCCCCATCTCTGTCTGGAGGAGCCCCATCTCTGTCTGGAGGAGCCCCATCTCTATCTGGAGGCGACCCATCTCTATCTGGAGGAGACCTATCTGTGTCTGGAGGAGACCCATCTCTGCCTGGAGGATCCCCATCTCTGTCTGGAGGAGCCCCATCTCTATCTGGAGGCGACCCATCTCTATCTGGAGGAGACCTATCTGTGTCTGGAGGAGACCCATCTCTCTCTGGAGGAGCCGCCTCTCTGTCTGGAGATGAGCAAGAAGCTACTGATGACCTAGACCTGAATTTCCCTGTTAGACAGAGGCATCTGAGAGGTATCTCAAGTGAGAGTGAATTATTTGATGCAGAGGATGGTACTGATAAAGAACTCCCACTGACCAAAAAAAGGTCATTGGCCGTACAAAGCACTTCTGGAAGCAAAGCCAATGTATGCTTCTACTGTGAGCAGTTCAAGGTAAAAATGGCCAGACACTTGGAGAGCAAACATTCCAATGAGGCAGATGTTGCTCGTATTCTTAATCTGCCCAAGAAGACCAAAGAAAGAAGAGATGCATTCATAAAACTTCTGAACAGAGGAAACTTCAAGCATAACTATTCTGTCTTTGAAAAAAACAAGGGTGTGTTAGTTCCCAAATACAGAAGGAAAAGTGCCAACACCAAGAAGCTTATTCCTTGTGAGTATTGCCTTGGCCTTTATTCACAGGTTGATCTGTGGGAGCACAGGAAGAGGTGCCAGTCAAAAAAAGATCTCAACAGTGGGTCTGCAAGGGGCAGTGGAGTGAAGAAGGGAAGACTCCTGCTGCCAGTCAAAACTTCCCACAAAAAGCTTTGGGAGAAAATTTTATGTCGAATGAATGACGATGAAGTTAAGGCAAAAGTTGAGGGTGATCGCCTGATTATCGAATTGGGGAACCGTCTGTATGACAGACATGGTCATGATGTCCACCAGCATTCATATATCTCCCAAAAGATGCGAGAACTTGGCAGACTTCTCGTAGTAACATCAAAGATGGAGAAGCCATTATATTCCATTCTGGCCTGTCTAATGCCAACGAACTGGGACACTCTTATTGAAGGAGTGAGAGGGACCGCCAAATATGAGGAGGTCACCAATGAGTATTCTACCCCATCATTGGCCCTCAAAATTGGACACAGTCTGAGGAAATGTGCTGAAATTCTTCAACTTCAGTCTGTGAAGTCACAAAATGATGATAAAGAAGAAATGAAGAAGATCGCTGATGATTTCATTCTTCTCTACAACAATGACTGGAACCACAAAATTTCCTTGAGGGCTTTGTGTTCCTTGGATAAACAGAGGTACAATAACCCCAAGCTGTTGCCACTCATGGCCGATGTAATAAAACTAGAAAGGCACTTGAGAAAATTTACAGCAGCCTCTACTGCAAGTTTGAAGAATGAGACAGACATCCTTCATTCGTATACCAGCTTGGCCAAGGGCACCCTCACCCAACTGATTTTGTTTAACCGGCGCAGGGCCGGAGAAACAGAGAGAGTGAAGGTTGAGGAATTGGACAAGGCCCTGAAGTCACAACATGAGTTGGGTGAAGAGGACATGGCAAAAGTCCTCACCAAATTTGAGATGCACTTAGTGCATACTCATATTAGGATTGAGACCAGGGGGAAGAGGGGAAGGAAGGTGCCGATCCTCATTCCAAGGCATATTGTGGAGAACGTGAAGTGCCTGAGAGAGAAGAGGGAAGAAGCTGGTGTTTCTGGATGCTTTCTCTTTGGTAGAAGAGGTAAAGTTAAGGGGCAGTTGTAGTCAAACTTTAGAGAGGCAAGTCAAAAATATTTTGGCCCCCAAATAAGTCCTATTTCAAAACACATCAGTCTAATTTATTAGCAAAACCATGGGTGTAACCTGAATACAACATGCAGTTGTTGGTACAAAATTAAGTTCGACCTATAGTTTTGGGTGAAAAAACTACTTACCAATCTCCAAGTTTAAGCACCAGATAACTTAGCTAGAACTACTTTCAAAGAATGTACTATATCCTACTAAACTCAGTACTGAAAAGGCAATGTCAGAATTACTAACCGACTCGACAAAAATGGCTGACACCACAGGTAGCCAGGCCATTACCAAAATACCTAACACAAAATTTGTGTGTTGGGTATACTGATTACTGCCCAGCTACCCTTGGTGTATATCATTTCTTTGGGTAACCAGGTGGTTACTAGTATATTACCAAACACATTGTTTGGGGCCAAAATCTGTTTGGTTTGACTTGCCTTTCCAAGTTTACTCTAGAATCAACAATATCATAATTTGTTGATTTGACAATGGAGTACTTGCATGAAAAGAACTTCACCTGCTCTCAGGGCCTAATAATTTGGAGAGATGTATACACTAAACTTTAATCTCACAGACTACACATCTATGAAAAGTGTTGTGGATGCAATATACATGTAGTGCAATAAACTGAAAATGGCTATAGTATTCCTACCAAGAATGAGTCTAGAGGAATAAAACTTGGTACTACTGTATCGTTCAATTGCTACCAATGCTGTATTTATTATTTCGCTTTTATGGTTGCTACAGGTGCTGCTATTCATCCATATGGAGGATCAGCATGTCTCCGGGAGTTTGCCAAGGACTGTGGGGCAGAGCATCCTGATCGACTAACCTCCACAAGGCTTCGGCAGCAGTTAGCCACCATGTGCCAGGTCCTCAATCTGTCGGAGGAAAACCAGGACCAGCTGGCCACATTCATGGGCCATAACTTAATTGTCCACCGCCAGTTTTACCGCCTGACAGAAAACATTTTGCAGGCAGCAAAGGTTTCAAAGATTCTTCACCTGATGAATACGGACCGCTTGGCCGATTTCAAAGGGAAGAACTATGACGAGATAACATTTGATGAGGAGGGTAGGTACTTCATGAATCAAGTGTGAATTTAGTCATTTTCACCCCTTGATTATAGCATCGCATTTGTAAAGCTAATTGGAAGAGTAATTCAAAATTAATCAGTCACCGGAAACAGATGCCACTTATGAAATATAACTCCTAGTATTGTATGGAGATGCATTTTCATTGGTCAGCTGCTACAATATCCATACCCTCTTGCACTTAGTTTCTGATGTTTTAAAATGTTCAGATGACTAACTTGTACCCTACAGTATATACATGTATTTATCTGCAGAAGCCCTTGAAGATGAACCTTCCGATGAGGAAGATAACACACTGGACGAAACCTCAGCACAGCCAAGTACAAGCAGTGGCTCACCAGGAGTGGGACAAACGAGTAGGAACACAGGTATGGTTACTGAGTCATGCAAGTGGAATTTGAAAAAAAACATATACCTTCATGTAGAAGTGTACAAAAATGATTGGATGCTCACCACTTCTACATTATCACTCTAGGACATTCTAGGGTAATCTTACAACCAATTATAAGTGGGGACTCAGGGACATCCTTACAGTTTAAAAACGCATTGTAACTTGGGACTTAATGATATTCCAAGAATCAGACATGTCAACCTCTGGACACAGAAAGGAGGGAGATCATGAGTCTAAAAGAGAGAGATTTACTCAAAAAGACGGAAGTTTTGATCATGACAGAATTCTTAGAACAACTGGGGACTTTATGGGTTTCATAGACAGAAAGAAAGAAAGACCAGCATGCAGGACATCCTTATACAGTTCAAAAACACAGTATAAATAGAGACTTCATGGCATTCTTGCACAGTTTAAAACACAGTCTAAATGGGGACTTCATGGCATTCTTGCACAGTTTACAAAAAGTGTAAATGGGGACTTCATCGCATTCCTAGATAGTTTAAAACACTGTAAATGGGGACTTCATGGCATTCCTAGATAGTTTAAAACACAGTGTAAATGAGGACTTCATGGCATTCTTGGACTGTTTAAAACACAGTGTAAATGGGGACTTTATGGTATTTTTAGTTTAATACACTGTAAATTGGGACATCATGGCATTCTTAGATAGTTTCAAACACAGTGTAAATAGAGACTTCATGGCATTCTTAGATAGTTTGAAACACAGTATAAATAGGGACATGATGGCATTCTTGGACAGTTTAAAATACAGTGTAAATGGGGATTTCATGACATTCTTGGTTTAAAACACTGTAATAGGGACCTCATGGCGTGCTTAGTTTAACACACTGTAAATGGGGACTTCATGGCATTCTTAGTTTAAAACACTGTAAATGGGGACCTCATGGCATGCTTAGTTTAACACACTGTAAATGGGGACCTCATGGCATTCTTAGTTTAACACACTGTAAATGGGGACTTCATGGCATTCTTAATTTAACACACTGTAAATGGGGACTTCATGGCATTTTCAGTAAAAACACTGTAAATGGGGACTTCATGGCATTCTTAGTTTAAAACACTGTAAATGGGGACTTCATGGCATTCTTAGTTTAAAACACTGTAAATGGGGACTTCATGGCATTCTTAGATAGTTTAAAACACAGTTTAAATAGGAACTTGATGGCATTCTTGGACTGTTTAAAACACAGTGTAAATGGGCACTTCATGGTATTCTTAGAGTGTAAAACACTCGCTCTCTACATCTCTCGTACTCTCTCTCTCT